ACAAGATAAAGAATGGTTTAAATTAATGACAATGTATTGTTTTATCCTATCTCTAATCTCTTGGCTCCCTTTGACCATTTTCAACATATAGTGATCAATTTTTATAGTCTCGATCACTAATATTTTTAGCAAAATTAATGAGATAAAGGATTGTGTAAATTAATGACAGTGTATCATTTTATTCTATCTCTAATCTCTTGGCTCCTTTTGACCATTTTCAATATATAATGATGGTTCCAATGATTAATATTATTAGCAACATTAATGAGATAAAGAATGGTGCAAATTAATAACAATGTATTGTTTTGTTCTAACTGTGATACCTTGGCTCCTTGTGACTAATTGCAACACATTATCATTGATTTTTTGAGTCCTCTATGCCTCTAATTTTGGTACATTGTTATTTATTGGACTTAAATGTGATAAATTCGATAGTTTATGGTGCAAAATATCTAAAATAAAAAATTTATGATGTAAAGTGTCCAAAATTGAAGTTTACAGTGCAAAGTACTATAAATTTAAGGGCAATGTGGATTTAGTGAACTTTGGCACATTAGTCCCCTAGGTTTACTGGATATACCTGTTCAATATGTGGGCAAATTTCTTCGAATGGTATGATATTACAAATATAAGAGATCAGATGTATATCATGTAATGGGCCTTTATATATATATATATGCTGGAGCAAATGGAGACATGGCTAGATTCATATGATTAAAACTACAACTAGTTGTATTAGAGGTACAATTGCACTACAAGCATGTAGAAGAACTCCCCCAAGCATGTCAGAGTCGAAATATAAGAATCTAATACTGGTCCAGACTATCGGGCCAAAAAAACCGCAATATGCATTTTTACAAAATACAAAGTCACAAACAAAATTTTTTAACTTTCATTTTTTTATTCTTACAGTGTAAAGCCTAAAAAACAAAAAGGATGCCATGATCAATACTTCACATGACTATGATGAATTGATGATATTTTAAAAGTAACAGTTATGTTATTTCATTTTTAGATTTGCATGAATTTGAGCAGGTTTTGCTTGAAAGCTGCAAGGATAAAGATGTAACAGGCTTCCCAATGCCAAATCTCATATATGTGTCTAGAGAGAAAAGCAGGACTTCTCCACATCAATTTAAAGCTGGAGCCCTTAATACGCTGGTAAGCCAAGTAATTGAAAAATTTACCTTTTCTTTTCTTCCATAAGATTGCAAATTATATAGAATGGTGAAATTAATGTAAACAGATTAAACTCAAAACATTTTTACTTACCCTAAAATAGTGGGATAAATACTAATATAAATTAGACTAAATTGACTCATTAATGTTTATACAATTCACAAATAGTAGGATAATTACTAACATAGAGTTAGACTGAACTCATGCAATAGTATTTTATCAACCCAAAAAATAACAGGAGAAATAGTAACATAAAGTTTTCTTTTTAGGCCAATGGTAACATAAAGCTAGACTAAACTCACGTGAAACTTGAACATGAGATTGAAAAAGTTAGACTAAACTCATGTGAGACTCGAACTTAAGACCTCAAATTCATAAGCTAGGTTTGAATGGTTCAATCATACTAGTAAATATTGTGTGAATCATTGGTAAGCTACTTATAATTTTTAATTTTTTTACCATGGTGTACTTGTTTTGACTTTACGGATTGTGTGACTTCAAATCTTCATTTTAACCTCTTCAAATTTAAATTCTCTTTTTTTTTTTTTTGTTTTTTTCCCTCTTGATCTGTTCTTTAGCTTCGTGTATCAGCTGTTATGACAAATGGTCCTATAATTCTAATCCAAGACTGCGACATGATCTCAAATGACCCCAGAACTCCATATAATGTCCTATGCTACTTCATGGATGCTTCAATTAGGCCAAAATTGGCCTATGTTCAATTTCCTCAATGTTTCAATGGCCTAAACAAGAATGACATCTATTCATCCGAGATGAAACGTTGGTTTCACATCAACCCAATGGGGATGGATGGATTATTAGGCCCTGATAATATGGGGCCTGGATGCTTTTTCACGAGAAGAGCTTTCTTTGGTGGTCCATCAATGTCATTATTTGTACAGCCAGAATTGCCCCAGCTGAGCCCTGATCATGAAGTCAATAGTTCTATTAAGTCTAAGCATATTTTGGAGCTGGCTGATCGTTTGGCAGGTTGCAATTATGAGAAAGGGACTAATTGGGGTTCTAAGGTAATCTTCAATAGTTTATTGCATTCCAGACTAGCATACTTACTATGGGTAATTAAGAAAAATGAATTAAAGTTGCTTGGACTATCAAAAAATGTCTTTTTATCTTCAATTTTAGATTTTATGTTAGCAGATAGTGAATAACTGGTTAAATTTCAATTTTGTCTGTTGTAAAGGTTTATTCATTGAATCAATAATCACCCAATAACTGGCTGATCGTTTGTTTGTTAAGTAAGCTCTAGAGTTTACAATTAATCATGGGTGTTCTATGTGCACTATAGAAAACGATTTCTCCAAAAAAATCTCTTCTTCTTCAGAAAATCATGGTTAGAATAATTGTATGCATCTTTTGTAGAAACTGGCTTGAACTTAATTGAAAAGAAGGCAAATCATGAAATGCAAAAATTAGTGTGTTCTACAAACTTACAGATTTTTTGAAAATTTTGAAAAGCGTCTAATTTTCTCCAATGTTTTCCAAATACAGTGAACTTTACCAGTAGAACTTTCTTGCTGAACTTTTCCCTTTCATTTTCCACCTTTAACAATTATTGTTGATCCAGTTGGTTCTTTTTGTTTTTGTTTTTCACCCCTCCTTTGGATACTAAATGTGCAGATTGGATTTAGATATGGTTCTTTGGTGGAAGACTATTACACTGGTTATCATCTTCATTCTCAAGGATGGATATCAATATTTTGCCAGCCAAAGAGGCCAGCATTTTTGGGAGATATACCAATTACCCTACTCGATGTAATAAACCAACAAATCCGGTGGGGTGTTGGCCTCCTTGAGGTTGCATTCTCCAGATACAGTCCAATAACTTTTGGCATGCAAGCTTTGGGGCCCTTGATGAGTCTTTGTTATGCAAATTATGCTTTTAATTCCATTTGGTCAATTCCAATCACCACATATTCCTTTCTTCCTCAGCTCATTCTTCTCAACAAAATCTATATATTTCCTAAGGTATGTACCACAAAACTAGTTGGAATTCCTCGGTGCATAGATCTATATTATTCTGAATCTTCACTTTGCTTTATTATCCTTTTATCAGACTCTTCATTTTGTGCAAGAATACCTGTGTCCATGGAACTCCTATCAACACTAAACCATGGCAAGTTTCTAAATAAAAATATTTGAAAAAACTATTTTTTTCTTTTGGTTTTTTTTAACTGCAAAGCTCAAATATTTATCCCTAAAACACTAGTTTGAGGCTTTAAATGTAGTTAGTCTACAGTTATGAGTTTTATTTAATTGAGTAGGTTGCAATAACATCAAGATGATACCCAAAAAAAAAAAATCAAGATGATCAGCTTAAAGGAGTAAACATATTGCACAATAGACGGATAATTGTCTAGATCGAATACATATATTCAATCCAATAAATGGCCTGTGTCCTAATTGGGAAATTTTATGGCTGAGATTTCAACTATTACATGGTCATTTATTAGGATTTAGAGTAACAAATCCTTGAGAAAATTGGGTATTTTAGAAAAATGGGGACAGAAAAAACATGTTCAAGAAGTCCAGGGACTTTGAGCATCATGTTATGGCCTATTCTTTTCTTTCAACTCAAATTCATTCTTCCAAAATTATTGCAGGTCTCCGATCCATGGTTTATCTTGTATGCTTTCCTATTTCTTGGTGCATATGGACAAGATTGCCTAGAATTTATATTAGCCCAAGGCACACTAACAAGGTGGTGGAGTGAACAGAGGATTTGGCTTATTAGAGGACTCACAAATGAATTGTTTGGAAGCCTTGAATACCTAATCAAAATCATGGGCTTCACCACACAGGGATTCCATGTCACAAGCAAACTAGTAGATGATGAACAAAGCAAAAGATATGATCGAGGGATTTTTGAGTTTGGTGTTGCCTCACCTATTTTTTTGCCTTTGGCAACAGCTGCAATCATCAATTTAGCTGCTCTGCTTCATGGTACCATGCAAATTTTGAAGGGAGGAAACTTTGATGAATCTTTTGTGCAGCTGTTTATTTCTGGTTTTGGTATGGTAAATTGCTTGCCAGTTTTTGAAGCCATGGTTCTGAGAACTGATAAAGGAAGGATGCCAATCAAGACTACACTCATTTCAATCATTTCAGCATTGTGCCTTTATATAGTAGCTTCTTTCATACTGAAGATTTGACTTTAGTTCAAGTGGTACTGTTCTTTTGTGTCATGCAGAAACCCAGTACTTTCTTTCATGAGTAATTACAGTTGATTGGTGACTATCTTTCTGCAGAAAGAATCTATACATTTTATTACCAACATTAGGCTGTTTCTATATCAAAGAAATTTGTGAAGTTAAATGAAGCCATTTCATGTTCTGAGTGTCATCTCCATTAACCACGTACATTTTTATCTTTTCTTGAGTGGATGAAAGATTATCTGCAAGCTCAAAGAATTGTACTAGTAAACTGCAATTCTGTGTAACAAGCATATATCAACTCAAAGAACAAAGAGTCTTACAAGTTACAGCCACAGATTAACCTTAAAAAAAAAAAAAAAATAGAGTTACAGCCGGGGTGGTTTTGGATGCAGCTTTCCGGACCTGAGATAGTGGTTGGAAAGTGGGGGATGCTTTCTTGATAATGTACAAGAAGTTATAAAACTAAGAGTGAAACTAATACCGAAAGAAATACAAAAAATAGCCAAAATGTGACTCCGATTTCTGAATTTTCCGTATGTTCCGAAGATTGCATTTGTACGGGTGCATTTGGTGGGTCAGAGCAAGGGCGCTGAAGAACTGGACCACATAAATGCGGATTCCCTTCCAAAACTTTCCTTTGAGAATGTATCAAGCTGACCTCCAGGGGGTATTGAGCTGTAGATCGTTGTTTGCCACGCTGAAAGAAGATAAGAAGTGCAGTTTCTCGAGTGACGAAGGAATTTCACCAAAAAATGAGTTATCAGAAAAGCTCAGCTTTTCCAAGTTAATTAGGTGAGATACTGTTTCAGGAATGCTGCCTGTGAAATTGTTGTGACTGAGATCAAGTACGTGCAATTCACCAATACTGACAGGAATGGTTCCAGTGAGATTATCTCCATTCAGATATATTGCCAGTGGCAATCTAGAAAGCTGATTATGTAGACATAAGTGTCTGCTCATGGGCTGAACAAGGAGTACAGGCAACTCATTGGGTGCACGGACTAGTCGATTAGCAATCAGCTCAGATGCTAGTCTTGACAATCTTGCAACTGATCTTGGTAGAGGACCCGAGAGAAAGTTCAGAAATCTAAGTAAAATAGGTTTGGCAAAGTCCTTATCCAATCGAGCATTGGACCTCTAATATGAATCTCATAAAGACCATGAACCTCTAATTTCCCCAATTTGGCCATTTAGTTGGCAGCCACCAAAGGCAAGAACTTTAAGATTTTTAAGTCCATCAGGACCACCTATGCTTCCATCATAGGGTAAGGATTCATTGTAGAAGTTTCTCGTGAGCAGTAATGAGCTGAGATTCGTGCACCTGCTTAGAATATTCATCGCCTCAGTGATATAGGTTAAACTATTATTTGAAAATGAGATGAAGGACAAAGATTTCAGGAATTCTGTGTTAGGATGAATCCCTCCTGTTAGCTGTTAGTTAAGCATATGGGTTGCAAAGCTCGACACAATTTGAGAGTTGCTCGGAAGCTGATAACAATTTGGAGAAATTGAGAGCAGAGAGTAGTTCTCAAGTTAAAATGTTCACCTTTATATCCAGCTTTATGCGTCTTGTGCAATTCATCAGTGTTGAGGGAATAGTGTAGTTCAGTTTGTTTACGTGAAGAAACAACTGTTCCATATTGGAAAGTCTCCCAATCTCTCGAGGAATTGCACCTGTCCAATTATTGCCATAAAGTTAAACAATTTTGTGGTTGGAAAGATTGACAATGGCTTCACTTGCCTGACCTGATATTCCATTTCCTGGAAGGGATAACTCTTGCAAAGTTGACACCTGATATATATCATCAGGATGAGATCCTGTGATTGAATTGAAACCTGCACGTGGTATCTTCAATTTCGAGCATCTTCCATAACCATTAGGAATAGGGCCATTAAAAATAATTGAATGTGATAGGGTGTTAATTGTTAGTAATTTTATTGTTAATTTCCGCTTTTATTCTTGCCAAATATTGTTTTAGTTATTAATATTTACTTATATTTGGTATTGGGACTTAATTTCAGGAACAAAGCAGAAAATTACCAAAAAGGAGGGACTTTTATGGGAAAATGGAGACTTCTAAGGACCTTGGACTCTTGAATTGGTGGGGACCACAAGCTAGTGAAAGGCATTTAGTCATTTGGGCCTTTCAAAGAAAGCAACGTAGAGAGACTTGGACCAAGAAATAATTTGGAAGTTTTGTCCACATGTGTGGGGACCACAGGGAATAGCTTTTAGGCTTCTTTCTTTTGGTTTTTTAAGGAAGACGTACAGAAGCAAAGAGGGATCCCTAGTTTTAGTGTAGTTTTTAGTTTAGTTTTAGTTTCCTTTCTTTCTTTCTTTTGACTGGCCTCTGACACATGCCAGGTGTTCGACAATATTCCCCAACGGGAAAAACATCTTTTATTCCTTGCTTTCTAGTAAAAACCGCCATGCCTTTGCAATCAATTACTTCGTGTGGTGATTCAATTATGCGGCGTGGCTAAGCCTTCCTTCTAGTCAAGGGGACAACTGACGATTTGGTTCGACAATTACTGTGAGATCGAATCTGTTTTAATTATTTTCTTCATTTATTGGTATTTGTATGTTCCTTGATTTTAATTGCTGCGGCCTTGTGTATGATTGATTAGTGCGCAATAATTAATTATTCATATAGGCTATTTTTGCTAAATAGGGGTAATTGAATCCGTAATTGTTCGTTATCTCTATCTCAGTAGCAACTGGCGTAATTGGGTTTATGTCAGGGGAATATACGATCTAACTTAAACAGACCCTCGTAGCGTGTTTGTTAGTTAGGATTGGGTCTTTCTAATTATTAATGCAATCTAGAAATTAAATCCTACGGTCGTACCTAGGGTTGTTTTTGGGTTAGAGAAATAGCTAACGGTCGTACCTTAGCTATCGATAAATTAAGGAAAGGTTGGTTGTTTATCGCGTGCATGACAACTATAACCAATCTATTAATAAAAGTTGGAATTATCTGCGAATCAATGATCAGTGCATGAACCATTTCTGAAGTGTACCCTTGGCTAGAGTTTTCCCTTAATTATTTCTTTTAATTAATTATTTTCTGCAGTTAATTTATTTAGTTAGCATTCAATCCAAAACCCCCCATACTTTGGACTCTAGAAGAAACGAATTATCCCAGTCGCTGTGGATTCGACCCTACTCGCCGCTATATACAAAATCTGTATTTTTCTTGAGTAGGTAATTATTATTGCACAGGTTTGGCACCTGTCAGAATGAAAAGTTAACAATAGTAATTGAAGAGTAGAGGAAGTTGTAGATGACAGTAGGTAGAGGGCCATAGAAGCTGTTGTTTCTGACATTAAAACTAATCAAATTCCATACTTGCTGGAGGAATGAATAATGAAGTACCCCGCTGAATCTGTTGCTTGAGAGATCAACCGTTTTGATGGTAACAGGAAACTGATCAAATGGCTGAAATTCTTCAGATAGCCGGTTATAGCTGAAGTCCAGAATTTCCAGTCTATTCAGTGACAAAAACAATCCATCAGGGAGACGAACAGATTACTTATTATGTGCAAAGTTGAGTTCTTTTAGATGGCTGAGGCTTTTAATTGAAGTAGAGATTGTTCCTTCAAGGTTTCTTGAAGGCAACCATATGCAATTCACTTGACCATTACGATCACAGCCAACACCCTCCCTGAAACAGGAATCAGCTGAAACATTCCAGTTTAAAGGAATTGAACTAGTGATGTTCTTTGATATTGACAACGAGGAGTTACTATCGAGTTGATTGCAAGAAACATTACTACTCGTGTTTCCGTAGCGTGAAATACTAAGCAAGTTGCATGTACTCAGCAGCAACAGAAATGAAAAGTGACAAATTGAGAATATTGCAGCTTTATGATCCAAGAACAAACTTCTACAACTGCTCTTGCTGTGATAGGATTACCAATTTGAGAACAAAAGAAGAATGCAACCAGGGTCATTGTTTGAAAGATTAAATATGCTTAGAACTTTAATTTCAAACCTCATCTGATCTGGTTTTCAAGCATCTTTTGGGCTTACTTAGTCTGTTTGGAATTATTCATGGATCAAATTGTGGAACGTGTTATTCTAATGAAAATTCTGGTTTTTTGTCAACAATCTTTGTACTATTAAATGTGCAATTTGCTATGATTGTATGTATTAGTGTAATTTCGTGGAAGTTAAAAAGCCTGCAGTCTGATTGGGGGTGCCCACTTTGGGAATAAAAATACTATTTTGAACAAATTTTCAAGAAATTGAATAGAGATTCTTGGTACAATTTCTTAGGAAAATTAATTTTTGGTCAGCGAAAAAATATTTACAAGTTTAAGACCTATACCTAGCCCCAATCCTAAATCTCTAGATGTTCACAACTTTTTCCTTACTTTAAAATTTTGTAAGAGGTTACATATTATACCTACATAATAGGAATGATATGAATAGCTGGTTATTTATCATCGGCGTGTCACTTCCTATGTGAATGTCTACTTATAAAATGTTATATTCTAATAATTTTTTTTTCTAAAATTTGAATATCAGGCTCTTTAACTTCGAAATTTTCAACTTAAGAAAATTTTTGTTTTCCTTAAATTCCCTATCCACATAAGGAAAGTGCTTGGAATGTAAGATTTCTACACTAGTTAGGTTTGTTACTTCAAGTTTATTCTTTCAAGTTTCAATCCCCTCTGCCCCTTCACCTTCTTCCACAAATTCCAATGTACTTCGTTGACAACCTCCAATAATTATATTATCAGGTGATAAAAACTAAATTACTTGATATTCAAATCGAGGTTAGTTCGATAAGAATTTACTTGAAAAGAAATAATACTCCAATAAAGGCTAAGAAATGAAATAAATTATTTGATATTTGAATTAAGTTTGACTCGGTAAGAGTTCGTTTGAACTTCGTTTCATCAACTATTCAAACCAAACTTAAATAGCATTTTGTGTTCAGTAAATTGTCAAACACTGCTCGAACTTGACTGTATTATCATAAAAGTGGAATTTACGTGTAAAAAAAGTTTAATCTCCTCGACCTCAATTTGAGTTTGGTTAAATAAAAACCCGTCTAAGTTTGGCTCCTTAAATACACAAGCTAATATTGAGCACAATTTTAATTTTAATAAAATTTTGAACATTAAAATATTCAGTTTAAGTAGATTAGTTTGCACTCCTAGTTCCAATATCAAAAATAAAAATTTTAAAAATAAATGGTTGGTCACCGCACCTGCCACCCCGTTCCCCACGTTGGTGCATCGGGATAAGAGAGAGACAAAGCAATACATCCTTATGCCTTGAGGACTGGGATAGCCTGCTACGTCCTCATCTAGATTGAGTATAAGTTTTTGGACCTTTGCCAACAGCAACAGCACTCATTTTTCATATTATTTTGGCCTTTTTAGTCAATTGCAGTTTCCAATTAGCTTTTTTCTTTTTCGTTTCCAATTAGTTTCTTTTTGTTTGAAGTTTAATTTGAGTCCTATTTTTAGTCAATTTTGTTCATAGTCTATCAGTGATTGGAATTATGCTTTGTAATTGTGCTCTTTCGAGTGGTTGGGGAGGGGTAGAACTCAGGATGCAAGTAATGTGAGTTTATGCAATATTTACCATGGAAAAAGCGTAGTATTTATAGCCAAGAAAATGTAGATAATGTCAAATTTGATTGAGAAGCATGACACCTGCAATTAAGATAAGAAACTTTAAAGATGCATGACTCTGAATGCTTAACATCACATTACGCAAGTGCAACTTGACTTGGATCAACTAAAAAAAATAAGTGGATACTTTCAAGCCATTCATGTGATGAGACATTTGAAGTATTACTAGTGGCAATGACAGACCGTGTGCCTGTAATAGTTCCTAGTAGCAGGGGCCCTGTGGGGTGACTTATCCCACATCGCTTACCGGGGGGGGGAGGGGATTGGGTTTAGTTTATAAGTCTCTTGGGCTCTTCAAGAGTTGCCGGCTTTTGAGGAGTTTCTTGGGATTTAGGTTTGTAGGCAACCTAAGAAGTCCTTGTGACTGGAAAAAAACAGACCGTGTGCCTGTGTAAATTTGAAAGGAAAAATTATTAAATTTTTTTAGTAGTTGTTGGAGATTTTTTTTTTTTTAAATATGAATGAAAAAATTGTGTTTTTTTTTTATAGGAAGTTGTTGAGGGTTATTGCTTTATTGGAAGTTTTGTTAGGCTAGAAAATGGTTGTGTGTGTGTGTGTTTATTTTAGGGAGATGACGGTACCATTTTGCCCTTTATTTAGAGAGCAAAATAAGAATTATAAAAAGTAATCCAAAAAGTTTATACCAACCCCTCCTCTCTCTCCCTTTATATATAGTACATAGATATGGTACAAACACAATACATAAAAGAAGAGGAGGGAGTGGATGTTAACCATTTATGTCATTTTTAGGTTCCTAATTTACCCTTCAAATAAATGACAAAATGGTATTACTTTCTCTCTAAAATACACTCACTCAAAAACAAACACACACCTCCATTTTTCAATCCTAATGAAATTTGACTTAAGGCAAAAACAGCCAACAACTTCCTATTAAAAAAAAATTACTTTCATTCATATGTCTACAGAAAGCCTCCAGCAACTAAGTGAATGATGAAATCCATTGGATTGATCACTAACACAGCACTTTCATTACTTGAGTGACCAATTTGAAACAAAACAAAGTTGGATAGTCAAAAGGATACCATTTCAGTAGTTCACTGGTATGAATATTTTTGGCCAAAAAAAATAAATAAATTGTTAGCATATTACAGAATAATTTTGTCCCTCAGGAGTTTGAGTCTTTTTTTTTTTTTGTCAGCAACGATACATTTGTATAACCTACTCTATCCTAATCTAGGGGGAGGGGGAGCCTAAGGAGACTGTTGTAGGGGTTAGTGGGTATACAGATCCAACTAGACTAAGAAAATGTTATGGCACAACTCTTGAATTTTTTTTCGCTGTTGGTGAGGTTTGAATCCTCACCAACAACCCAAGGACTCCCTGGTGGCCACTGAGCCATTGGCCCAGTGGTTCTCAGGAGTTTGAGTCACACCACAACAAAAAGAGAAATGAGAGCAAGGAAGAGAGCGAGAAGGCAGAGCAAGGAGTGCCTACCGATCCAACGAGGCTTGTCTGCACCCACGTGTCCCCAAGCTGCTCAAATATCACGCAACCAACAAATACCCCCAGAGTTTTTGAAAATTACGGAGTAACCGGCGAACTCGCATCAATCCAGCATTTGAGAAAGAGGAGCAGAATACAAATAAGTCAAAAAGTCATCTGAGAAGAAGAAGCAGAATACAAATGATCCAAAGTCTGAACAAGAACGAAGCAGAGCAAAAGGAAACAACAAAAGCAACTAAAATTTTAAATGGATACAGGCCAACGTCCACTACCATGATGAACATATTTCCTGCAGCCAGCTCAACAATGACCGAACGCACCAAGTACAATATTGCGCCATGCAGTCACCAAGTTATTGGCACCACCGTAACCAAAGGCCCCTTAAATTGATGAAAATTACTACAATATCCACTTAATCAGTCAAGTAGTTTTAATCCAAATTCTAGAGTTCATATCTAGCAAATTGGTAATATTAAATCCAATATCTACAAACTTTACATCTAACGCGCGCGCAACATATGCACTTCAATATTTTCATATTTTGCCTCCGTTTAGACCCCGATAGTTTTAATTCTCAGTCAATGTGAAGCAGTACTATATATATTTTTTTTATAGGTTAACAATTAGACTTTTGTTATAAAGTAAAAATTAGTCTATTTAAAGTAGTAATCCTTCCCACCTATTTTTAGTCAATTTTGTTCATAGTCTATCAGTGATTGGAATTATGCTTTGGAATTACTTGTATTTCTGATTTTTCTTTTTTATCATTTGGTTGTACCTTTCAATGATTCTTTGGAATCTTCTGCTGACTATTTTATGTGCTTCAATGCCTAATGAGTGTAGTAGATGCAATCTAGTATAGGCACCAAGAATTAGAATTAAAAAAAATTAAATGATGTCCCTGTAAAAGAATTTTAATCCATTTTCTATGGCAGTTTTTAATATTTTTTTAAATAAAAATAGTTTTTAAAACTCATTGTTGCAAAACAAGTAAAAATTTGTTTTATATGAGAAAAGATTATTAGATGAATTGACAAATGTTTCAATTTTATTGTTCAAGGGAAAAAATTACTGTGTAAAAACCTTTGAAAAAAAGGTGTGAAGATAGTGGCAAAGACTCTCTATTTAACATAATCTATCTACCTATGTCGAGTGGCTAATTGACAGGCCAAATAGCTGACTCGGTCAGGTTTTGCAAGTGTTCTTTCATTTAGCCAGTGTGCTCAAACATGCATTGCAAAATCACTCTCCATATTCCTTTTGGTCCTACGTTGGTGCATTGTGACGGGAAAGAGTCGGGGCAACGCATCTTTATACAAAGAAGGCGGGGACAGAGCAAGAAGACCTCTGAAGTCTTGAAGGTGCATTAGGATAAATACTAGCTTTATTTGTGGTGCAGAATAACAACGTCTGCCAACTTGAGTTGAACTTGAAAGCAATCATGGGTTCCTTCAAAATAATCTCCATATTCGTTCTTGTCGTCCTACTTGTCCCATCTTTTCACCCCAGATGTGGAGCTTCAGCTTCTGCTGAAGAGGCTGCTGCTCTTTTGAAATGGAAAGCCAGTTTTTTGAGCCAGAACAATAGCTATCTAACCTCATGGAACCTTCAATCAGGCGATGCCAAGAATTCTTCTACACTTCCTTGCACTTGGGCTGGTATTTCCTGCATTGATGGAAGTGTCAACAGGTTGAACCTCTCAGATTGGAGTATTAAAGGTAGCCTCTATGATTTCCCGTTCTCATCCCTCCCAAATCTTGAAGATCTTGATCTCAGCTTTAACCAGATCTTTGGCCGTATACCAAAACAAATAGGTAACATGTCGAAACTCATTTCTCTGGATTTCGGGGCTAATGAGCTGTCAGGCAAAATCCCGCCTGAAATTTGCAACTTGAGAAACTTGAATCATTTAGGTTTTCCAAGTAATCAACTTTCAGGTCCCATTCCTCCGGTGATAGGGAATTTGAGCTCACTTCAGTTTCTTTACTTATATCAAAATAATCTCATTGGTGCAATCCCAAAGTCACTAGGTAATTTGACCAAATTGATTGAACTGGAACTCACCGGTAATCAGCTCTCCGGTCCATTGCCAGAACTATTATGTCAAAGTGGAGTTCTCCAAAACATTACTGTAGGTGAGAACATGCTTACTGGTCCAATCCCTAAAAGCTTGCAAAACTGCTCAAGCTTATTTAGGGCCCGTTTCAACGGTAACCGTTTCCAAGGAAACTTATCAGAAATGTTTGGAATCTATCCAGTCATGGATTTCATTGATCTTAGCAATAACAAATTCTATGGGAAACTCTCCAGCAACTGGGGTAAATGCAAAATGCTGAAAACCCTTATAGTTGCAAAGAACAACATCACGGGTGGTATACCTCCAGAAATTGGAAATTTGACTCAACTACACAAACTTGATCTTTCTTCGAATTATTTATCAGGGGAGATACCAAGGGAAGTTGGGAAGTTAGCTTCCATGCTTAAACTAGATTTACATGACAACCAGCTTACTGGTGGTATACCTCAAGACTTGGGAGTGTTAATGGAATTTCTAGACCTGTCCACAAACTCCTTGAATGGAACTTTACCAGAACTTCTCGGAGATTTGAAACACTTGTTTCACATGAACTTGAGCAATAATGTTTTAAGTCAAAAGATTCCATTGCAGATTGGGAAGTTAACCCAGCTTTCTGAACTAGATTTGAGTCAAAATTTCCTCACAGGAGAGATACCATTTGAGTTTCAAAATTTGCAGAGTTTGGGGACATTGGATCTCTCCCAGAACAACCTATCTGGTTTGATCCCAAAGGCTTTGGCAGAATTACCTGGTTTATTGCACATCAATCTTTCTTTTAATAATTTGGAGGGCCCAATTCCGAGTGGTAGAGCTTTTGTGAATCTAACCTTAGAAGAAGTAAAGGGAAATAAAGGTTTGTGTGGCAATATTACAGGGTTACGGGCCTGTGAAAGTTCCCTGTTGATTAAAAAGCATGTCAAGGATAAAAGCAAGGAACTTGTTCTCATAATTGTATTGCCTCTCCTGGGATCATTCACACTTCTTGGTGCTTTCTTCGGTGCTCTCAAATTGCATGATCGGAGAAAAAGAAATTCGGGAGTGGAAGATATGGAGGTGAATAAGGGCGGTTTATTTGCCATATGTGCTTATGATGGCAAAGCATTGTATAAAGAAATCGTGAGGTCTACAGAAGAGTTCAGTGAAACATTTTGCATTGGGAAAGGAGGTTGTGGAAGTGTTTACAAAGCACTGCTTCCAGCAGGCGAGGTAGTAGCTGTAAAGAGACTTCACAACGTACCTAATGTGGTAAAGGATAAAAGTTTCTTGAATGAGATCAGGGCCTTGACAGAAATCAAGCATCGGAACATTGTGAAACTCTTTGGCTTCTGCTCAAATGCTCAGCATTCAATTTTGGTTTATGAGTACCTCGAAAGGGGAAGCTTGGCCAAAATCTTGAGCACAGAAGAAGCAGCTAAGGAACTAGACTGGCAAAAGAGGTTGAATATCATCAAAGGCATCGCTCATGCTTTGTCTTACATGCATCATGATTGTTCACCACCAATTGTACACCGAGACATATCAAGCAACAACATTTTGCTTGATCCAGAATGCGAGGCTCATGTTTCAGATTTTGGCACTTCCAAGTTTCTCAGAAGAGACTCATCTAACTGGAGTTCTCTTGCAGGCACATATGGATATGTTGCACCAGGTAATAGAGTTATTTTTTTTCCTTTTCCTGTCACTAATTTGTTAACAAGTA